CGAAGTCATACAAAAATATCTATAAGATATAAAAATTGTATAAAAATAAATATGTATGACATTTAAGTCATGGAAAAATATTTATATAATAAAAATGAAATAAAAAATAAATGTGTATGACATCAAAGTCATAGAAAAATATTCATATAATATAAAAATGAAATAAAAATAAATATGTATGACATCGAAGTCATAGAAAAATATTCATATAATATAAAAATTAAATAAAAATAAATATGTGTAACGCCGAAGTCATAGAAAAATATTTATAAAATATAAAAATGAAATAAAAATGTATGACATCAAAGCATGATATTTTGAGCATGATATGTTAACTGAAACTAAAAATCTGTATTTTCTCTTCTTTCTGATGCACTTCTTGTTACTGTGCACTATTTTATTTTTCTATTGTATCATGTTCAAATAAAGCTACATACAAAAGTCAGAAAAATATTTATCACCATAGAAACGAAAAGCCACACCCTAAAAACAGGGAGTTTTCTCTCACCTGGATGCTATAATATGCTAAAATATTAATATAATATAAAAATAAAATAAAAATAAATATGTATGACATCGAAGTCATACAAAAATGTTCATATAATATAAAAATTAAATAAAAATAAATATGGATGACATCAAAGTCATAGAAAAATATTAATATAATATAAAAATGAAATAAAAATAAATATGTATGACATCGAAGTCATAGAAAAATATTTATAAAATATAAAAATGAAATAAAAATGTATGACATCAAAGTCAGAAAAATATTTATCACCATAGAAACGAAAAGCCACACCCTAAAAACGGAGCGTTTTCTCTCACCTGGATGCTGACAGCGAACAGAAGGCAGGTCTGGGTGAGGAGGGCGAAGGACTGATATTCATAGAAAAATAGCTATATAATATAAAAATTAAATAAAAATAAATATGTATGACATGGAAGTCATAGAAAAATAGCTATATCATATAAAAATGAAATAAAAATAAATATGTGTATGACATCGATGTCATAGAAAAATATTTATATAATATAAAAATTCAATAAAAATAAATATGGATGACATCAAAGTCATAGAAAAATATTCATATAATATAAAAATTAAATAAAAATAGATATGTGTAACGCCGAAGCCATAGAAAAATATTTATAAAATATAAAAATGAAATAAAAATGTATGACATCAAAGTCAGAAAAATATTTATCACCATAGAAACGAAAAGCCACACCCTAAAAACAGGGAGTTTTCTCTCACCTGGATGCTGACAGCGAACAGCAGGCAGGTCTGAGTGAGGAGGGCGAAGGACTGATATTCATAGAAAAATAGCTATATAATATAAAAATTAAATAAAAATAAATATGTATGACATGGAAGTCATAGAAAAATATTTATATAATAAAAATGAAATAAAAAATAAATGTGTATGACATCGATGTCATAGAAAAATATTTATATAATATAAAAATGAAATAAAAATAAATATGGATGACATGGAAGTCATACAAAAATATTTATAAGATATAAAAATTGTATAAAAATAAATATGTATGACATTTAAGTCATGGAAAAATTTTTATATAATAAAAATGAAATAAAAAATAAATGTGTATGACATCAAAGTCATAGAAAAATATTAATATATCATATAAAAATGAAATAAAAATAAATATGTCTGACATCGATGTCATAGAAAAATATTTATATAATATAAAAATGAAATAAAAATAAATATGGATGACATGGAAGTCATACAAAAATATTTATAAGATATAAAAATTGTATAAAAATAAATATGTATGACATTGAAGTCATGGAAAAATATTTATATAATAAAAATGAAATAAGAAATAAATGTGTATGACATCAAAGTCATAGAAAAATATTAATATAATATAAAAATTAAATAAAAATAAATAAGTATGACATCAAAGTCATAGAAAAATATTCATATAATATAAAAATTAAATAAAAGTAAATATGTGTAACGCCGAAGTCATAGAAAAATATTTATAAAATATAAAAATTCAATAAAAATAAATATGGATGACATCGAAGTCATAGAAAAATATTCATATAATATAAAAATTAAA